CTCCTGACCTCGTGATCCACCTGCCTCAGACTCCCAAAGTGCTGGGATTACAGGCGTGAGCCACCGCGCCCGGCTAAAACCCCTATTTTTTAATGTTGTTAAAGCTGTAACTTTATTCACACTTTCATTCAACAAGCATTCACCAGGCACCATGCCAAACACTCAAGCAATAAATAAGATATGATTCCTGCCCTCAGTCAGCTCACAGACGAATACAGAAAAACAAATAGAACTATACCACACAATGCAAAAAGAGAGATTTATGCGAGTAAGACAGGGGAGAAAGGAATGACAGGGCCGGAGGTTTGATTTCAGGAAACCTTCACATAAAGCTTGATTTTAGCCCAAGTATGGAAGAATGAAGAGGTGTTTACTAGGTCAACAAGGAGTAACAGGTATTCCATCCATACAAAAACATGGAGGTGACAAAACTGCATTGTGTGCAAGGAGAAACACAAGCAATGGATTAGGGAGCATTTGTTGCTCTACCATCAGCATCCGCTTAACTGGCACAACCACCAGGGAAGATTAAGAGGAAAAAAGACATATAGGATTTAAATAGCAGAGTCCACACTTGAACGATGATTTGACTTCAGAACTGTGCGCTTAACTGCTATGCTATCTGGCAGCCACACATGTAGTAATGGAGAAAATGACTGAAAATCAAGATTAGATCAACAGGCAGGAACCAGATTATAAAGGGCCATGAAGGCTATACTAAGGGTTCTGGACTTTAAAATCTTTTTATGACTCTCAGAAAACAAGGAATTAACAAAATCAGGTTTATATTTTGAGAAAAATGATTTTAGCTACAACAGCTAAAGAATTGCTAACACTACAATTTTTAAACAAATATTAATCACAGTGTCTTTAATATCTGTTGATGGAAATTATACGTGATTACCAAAAAATGCTTCCAGAACTCGGTAACATTTTCAAATGAATGTCTTTGTCACTCTACATACATTTCAAAGGCAACAGTACAAATGCATAAGACCTGCATTTAGCCTGTTGACAATGCTGACATGCAATGAAGATTCATGTACTGCAGGCAAACTTTTTCAAACCAGACCAGACTGACAGCCGCTAGTAGAAGGGATATTTATGAAGAAAGAGGGAAACCATTTAGAAGAATTTCGCTAATATCAATGGAAGACCCAGAGTGCAATTCCTTAACACGAAACACTTTTAAAATGATTTTAGCTGCAGCAGCTAGAATAAGAATCGCTTTGTAACACTACAATTTTTAACACATATTTATCATAATGGTTTAATACTTGTTGATTGAAACTGTACATAATTACCAAAAATACTTCCATTAGTACCAAAGGTAAAACAGTTAAAAGGTGATGAACAGCACATGCGTGAAGTATAAAAATTGGGGCAGGTAGAGAAACAGACCAATTAGAAGTGAGGAAGGACTCATATTCTAGTGCCAGACTTGGCGATGAGCTCAGGTTGGCATCCCTTACAGGGTGACAGCAATACTGAAAAAACTCAATCCAAAGATAACAGGAAGGGCAGGTGAGCAGGAGGATGGTGAATTAAGTTATCCTGTTCTGCTCCAGCCATAAAAATTACTCTTGTATTTGAACCTCAACCTAGATAGCAACATTAACTTGGAGACTAGAAAACTGTGACCTACCAGTGCAAAGTGCTACGTACCTTAGTTTAAATCTCATTAGTATTTTGTCAAGGCTTTCAGGTGACCCCAAACAGAGAGACAAAGGCAACTATAAGGCAGAGAAAATTAAAAGGTACTGCAGAAGAGGCCTAAAATTAGAGTCCCGGCTGTATTTTCTACCACTTCATCACCCACTAGGTAGCCTTGCTAGAATCAAGCTTCCCCTCTGCCTTTGCCTTCAAACCATTACATTACTTGGTTTTAAACTGGTGTTTAATCATAAACCAGCCCTGGTACATTATTAATGTTCCAAACAGCCTTTCCAATCAATAATAATCCAATATCATCATGTTATCTTAAAGGGTAGCACTCCTACATTTGCTTTGAATTACAAAATTAGCACCAGAAGACAAGCCAGTTTGTATACATACTCAAGTATGTAAATACAATTTGAAATGAATAAAAACAAGATAAAAACGCTAATAATTGGCAGAATAACAACCACTAGCTCTTACCTCAATCTCCTCCACTCTAAAAAATAAATTTAAAGTTTGGTTATGAGAACTACATATTAGCTATTTTAAATCACAGACAGAAAACTGAAATGGCAAGAAGATGCTGAAACGGAGTCCAGTCATCATTCAAAATTTTACAAGGTTATTGGAGTTAGTGACATTGGGGTACTCAAAACTGCAGCAAGAATAAAAGTAACAGATTACATCTAATACACATAGAATATATATGTGCATACATATACAGCATGTACATTTAAAAACCCTTCTATATTTCAGTAATGTGTAAAGGAATAGGGCAAAATGTAGCAAGAATATTAGCAAGCAGGAAAAAGAATACAAATACACATTGGAATCAACTTTTCATCTTCAAATTAGGGGTTCTTAAAGAGGTTGTGGTGATGACAGTCATTCGTCCTGCTTCTTTTGGCAAGAACAGTATTTTAAAATATGTGCTTTGGTGGCAAAGGCAAAGCTGAGAAGAGAGATAAATGTGGACAGTGGCCGCAGAAATAAAATAGCCCCAACAGTGAACACGCTGTGGTCACTTCACATGCCCAGAGTATACTAAAACTATGTGAACATGTAAATTCCTCACATATACACAGTGAAGGCAAACATACTGCCTTGCTCCATGTGGCATGAAAAAAAATATTTAATTTTAATTTCATTAACTATATTGAAAGGATACGACAGGCCAGGTGCGGTGGCTCACGCCTATAATCCCAGGATTTTGGGAGGCCAAGGTGGGTGGATCACAAGATCAAGAGATCGAGACCATCCTGGTCAACATGGTGAAACCCTGTCTCTACTAAAAATAAAAAATAAAAAATTATCTGGGCATGGTGGCACACACCTGTAATCCCAGCTACTCGGGAGGCTGAGGCAGGAAAATTGCTTGAACCCAGGAGGTGGAGGTTGTAGTGAGCCAAGATCCCGCCATTACACTCCAGCCTGGGTAACAAGAGCGAAACTCCGTCTCAAAGAAAGAAAAAAAAAAAAAAAAAAGATATGACAGTACCTTTAGGAAGATCCAGCTTTCTGCTAATGATGAACAAAATAAATTATAGAGGTGCCAAATCATTGCTGATAAACACCTTTACATAGACTGCGATGAGAGTGAAAAGAGGCCACATGTACTATGCCTAATGATATCTTTTATCACAATACACTTTTCCCTAGTTCATCAAATACACATTTCTTGGAGAAACCCTACATAGTTATCACCAAGCAGAGACAAAAAAGGAATGCTTAGTTTTCCAAAATCTGCATACTAAAAAAAGGAAACGGTGCGGAATCATTCGTATTCACGTTTCCTGAAACAAATACAAAGCATGCATTTGCAAACTCCACGCAGAAGCCACGTATGACCAAAATATGTCCCCACGTCTCCCCTTCTCCCTCCCTCAATCCCCAGCACTCAAACACAAAATGGCAAGTTTGTTTTCTAAAATTATGCAGAACACACACTGCTAATGGAAAATTACAGCTGGAAGTCTTGGCTTTTCAAAGTTTATGAATGAGGGAAGTTATTTCTCTTAACTATATTGCTGAAATTTTTCCACTCTCATTTCAATTCAAAATACCGTGTTTATTCGTCTCCCAACTTTCCATGCCCTCTCTTTACATCTAAGTCACCTTCAGACCAGCTCAAAGTTTCCGTCTAAAAAGACACTAAAACCTCATTCCTTAGACCTCCCAACTGTCCCGTGGTTGTAATGCTACTCACATTTCACATTCCTTTATTTAGTGTAAGAAATGTAATACTGAAAGTTTATTCTTTCTTTCCATGCACATATATGTATTTCTTTAAGGAAAAATAAATTATTTTCAAGTATTGTTCACCTTGGAATTCGTAAACCTGTTGTTTTTTTCCGTGGAATAATCTTTAAGACTAATTCGACGTTTTAAATGCGTTGATTAAACCAGCACGTGGCATCACTAACTCCTAAATGACTGCAATGCTGGTGCATGCCACAATTTTCAACAGTTGTTCCTGATTCACTTCTGCTTGGAAGACTTTTGCCTCGTCTTAAAAGTCATCTTTTCGTCCAGTGGAATAAGGGCTAGAAGTCCTGATGTTAAACTTCTACAGATAAATGTAGCCCCAAGGCGTGGATGAAGAGACCCGCTCTTTTTCAGAGGGGAAGAAGGGAATGGAAGATCTTGTCTGGTAGGCACAGCTGGAAGCATAACAACTCTCAATGATCTCAGGATCATTGAGATCCTGAGATCCTCAACCCTAGGATCTCAGTCTCATCAAAGCTGAAAATGAAGCAGCACAAGGCCGGGCCCCTACCCCCTGGGGCTGGGATGCGGCTGCAGAGAAATCATCCTTCCAGGTGCTCCTCCGGTGTGTTACCACCTCCACCTGCCCTCCCACCCACCTTTCTTTTCCGCTCCCCCTCCACACTGAATACACTGGCTTCTCAGGTATAGGTCGAGCATCTGCACTTCTATGCACCCCGAGGGAATGCACCCGAGTGCCCTGGCCCAGCTCTGCACCACGCGCTCTGGGCTGTGCCCCGCAGAGAGACACCCCGGGCGAGCCAGGACCGACCAGCGCTGCTCCTCCCGGACGCGCAGGGCCGGCACGCGGCTGGCGAGCGCTCACCTCTGCCCTAGGAAGCCAGTGACAACGTCGGGAGCCAGGGGTTAGGCAGCGCTAATCAAAGCGGGACATTAAGAGGCAGGAGAGGCAGAAGCCGCAGAGTCCCCAACAGTGCACAAGCAAAGCAGCTTCTTCGCACGGGCTGGGTCGCCCAAGGAGGCTAAAGTGTAGAGCGTCCCGGGCTGCAGTCACGTAGCGACCACTGCCCCGAGGCAGCCAACACCTGCGGAGAGGAAGCATGAAAGGTACTCACCTCCACCCATCTCTGAGCCTCGGCGAACGCCACGGAGCAGTCGGCCTCCGCCTCCTCCAGCCCTTCCATGGCTAGGACAAGGGAGGGGGAGAGAGACTCAGTGGGTGCCTGGAGGGGCGGGGGTGTCCCGGTGCGTCTGGGCCCCACTGGCGGGGAGGGTTCGCGCGCCGCCGCCAGGCTCCGGCTGCGAGGGCGCCCGGCTTCTCGTTCCCTTTGTTGCGTTCTGCAGTTCGTTAAGATCTCGAACTCACAAGAACGTGAAGACCTGGCGTTCTCTAAACTCCTGAAAGCGACCCAAGGTCCGCTAGGACCCGGGCAGCCTGGCAGGACGCAGGAGGCGAAGCGGGCGCCCAGAGGCAGCGCGCGGCTCCGGCCCCGACGACAGTTTGGACTTCAAAAGTCGCTGCGCCGCCGCCGTCCTCCCCGCCCCGGCCCCGCCCCGGCCCCGCCGCCGCCCGCCCGGGCCCGCCAAGTCGCCGCTTCCGTCCGCCCCTCCCGCTGCTCCCCGGGGCTCCGGGCCGCGGCCGCCTCTGCGGTCAGACTGTCTGGCCCGAGGGATGCCAACCGTCCGCCAGGCTCGGGTTCCCCCGAGGGGGATGCGCCGTCGCGCCCGCGTCCTTCCCGCACCCGCCCCACTGACCGCCGGCCCGCCCTCCCTCTCCCGGGCCCCAGAGAGCTGCGCCCTCCCGGCTCGCGGCCGCCCGGCCCGCCTGACATACCAGGAATAGCAGCACACAATTGCACCTTTCCGGGCCAAGAAACACCCGCTGCGGGGGAGCGCGGCCCGCAGCCCTCACCTGCCGCCCGGCCGGCCGAGCCCGCTCCGCGCGCTCCCTCCGCGGTCCGGTCCTGCCGCCAGGTGCTCGCCGTCCGCTCCCACGCTCCCGCCCCCGGCGGCAGATGAGAGTCGTGGCCTTAGCACGTGCGGCCGCAGCACGTGCGGCCGCTTCCGCAGAGTCGGGCCCCGCTCTGCCCGCCTTCCAGCTGGGTGCGGTGGTGGAAGGAGGGTCCCGCCCCTCCACCCCGGCTCGATGCCGAGGGTTCGAGGGAGCGGGAGGGAACCTTGCATTCCCCACTTCCCGCCCGCTCAGCCCAGTCCAGGCCCTGTGACCGCCCTTGCGCTGAGCGTCAAAACTCCCACCCTTCCTGGTTTGAGGACATTCAGGGGACAGCGAGGTGGCATGTTACTCGGTATCCGCAGCGGCCCTGGGTAGGTGTTCAGGGCCGTCGGCCGGGAGGCGCACGGGTCGGCTTGTGCGTGTTTTTCACAGGGTGCTCAAAGCAGGTGTGCAAAAAGGAGCCTGCTCGTCTGTCTACGCTCCCTGGGCCCTCACGCCACGCGCCTGAGGCACTGTCCAGGCCACAGGTTGATGGCTCCATCTCTGGAGGAAAAGAAAGACCGGTTCTTACTCTGCTGAAACGAAAGCAAACCCTGTTCTTATTCTTCTGGTTGTTTACTTTTTATGAAGAAAAGCATCAGATACAGAGCAGAGGCTAGTAGAAGAAGTGCTATCTAAAACCTGGGGTCTATATTTAACAAGTGTTTACATTTTGCCTTATTTAATTCATCACCTTTTCTGCTGGAGGGTTTTATTTTTTAATTTTTTAAATTTTATTTACTTGTTTGTTTTTTAAGAGACAGCTCTGTTGCCCAGGCTGGAGTGCAGTAGCGTCATCATAGCGTGCTGTGACCTTGAACTCCTGGGCTCAAGAGATCCTCCTGCCCCAGCCTCCCAAGTAGCTAGGGCTACAGGCGAGTGATACCACACCCAGCTAATCTCTGTATTTTATTCTAGAGAGAGGAGTCTTGCTGTGTTGTCCAGGCTGGTCTTTAACTTTGGCCTCAAGCAGTCCTCCTGCCTTGGCCTCCCAAAGTGCTAAGCCATCACACCTGGTGGTCAGTTTTAAAGTAAAAACAGACACCCCTAAATGGTACAATATACATATCATTTTTAAAAGGACACTTTCCTATATAACCATAATACTATTTTCACACCTAACTAAAACTAGCAATAATTATCAACTCATATCACATTCTTCCAAGTGACCCAAAAATGTCTTTTACAGCTGACTTACTCAGACCAGGATTCAATCCATGACCACCCAGTTTATTTGAGTACATCTTTTTTCACCTAGAAGAGACTCCTCCTCCTCCCCACTCCCCCTTTTTCTTGAAATGACATTGTCTTGTTGAAAAAACCAGACTGTCTTCTGGATTTATCGTAGGTTTCTTTGTGGTGTCTTCAACATATTTCTCTTCTCTCTGTACTTCCTGTCCTCTCATTACAGCTCTCAAGGCTGGATTGGAACCTATCTCTTCTGAGTAAACAGTTCACCACCCACATTCCTCCAGATTGGAGTGGTGGTTTTTGTTTGTTAGGTTCATTTTTGTTCAACCACTTTTTATTGGCACTGTCTGCAGTCCGTGGGTCTGTTTAGAAAAGCTGACAAGCTTTAGGAATACAACTGTTCCTGCTGAAATGGAAGTCATTGACTAGACCACCTGTTTGCCTCTTGGCTACGCTTTGATCAAGCCAAATCCTAAAAGAAAATGGAATAATGAAAGAAACTGGGAAGATATTTCTCTCTTGTTGGCTATTCAAAAAACTTTTAAGTGCGGCGGGGTGTGGTGGCTGACGCCTGTAATCCCAGCGCTTTGGGAGGCCAAGGCAGGTGGATTAATGAGGTCAGGAGTTCGAGACCAGTCTGACCAAAATGGTGAAACCCCATCTCCATTAAAAGTACAAAAATTAGCCGAGTGTGGTGGCACATGCCTGTAGTCCCAGCTACTCGGAAGGCTGAGGCAGGAAAATCGCTTGAACCAGGGAGTCGGAGGTTGCAGTAAGTGGAGACCATGCCACTGCACTCCAGCCTGGGCAACAGAGCAAGACTCCATCTAAAAATAAAAAAAGGATGGATGCAGGAGCTCACTCTTGTAATCCCAGCACTTTGGCAGGCTGAGGTGGGCAGATCACAAGGTCAAGAGATTGAGAACATCCTGGCCAACATGGTGAAAACCTGTCTTTATTAAAAATACAAAAATTAGCCAGGCACGTGGCACATGCCTATAGTCCCAGCTACTCAGGAGGCTGAGGCAGGAGAATCACTTGAACCTGGGAGGAGGCTTCAGTGAGCCGAGATTGTGCCACTGCACTCCAGCCTGGTGACTGAGCAAGACTCCATTTCAAAAAACAAACAAAAAAAACTTTTAAGTATTTAGTGAATACTTCATAGGTGCTAGATATTATAAGTGATACAACATTTTAAAATCCTAGACACTGACTCCTATGCACTATTCAGTCCAGTAGGACATTCTGCAAGCTTCATGAGGATTATTATTACTAGAGTTAATATATACATACATTACACCATTCAAAGCCACTGCTGTGTAAGTAGCTTTGGGGGCAGCAGCCGAGAATGTTAAGAAGCGCACAGGATTGGGGATCTGAATGCCTTACATTAGCAAACTACCAGAATCACTAAGGTTCAATTTCTTCAACTGAATAATGTGATAATACTTCAAAGGATTGTTGTGAGAATTAAATATGATGGTGGATATAAAAGCCCAAGGTATTGCTTAGCATAGAATAGACACTCAATAAATGAAGGTTGAAGGTTATTTCCCTTTGGTCTCTTTTTCTAACAGTGTGTCAGATTTTTCCTAAAAAATGGGGATTTCACATACTTGTTCAAATAGTTATAAGAAATGCTGTAGGGCAGGCGTCCCCAAACTACGGCCCGGCCCGAGGGCTGCATGTGGCCCCCTGAGGCCATTTATCCGCCCCCCTCCCATCCCCACGCCACACTTCAGGAAGGGGCACCTCTTTCATTGGTGGTCAGTGAGAGGAGCACAGTATGTGGCAGCCCTCCAATGGTCTGAGGGACAGTGAACTGGCCCCCTGTGTAAAAAGTTTGGGGACGCCTGCTGTAGGGTTTTGCAAATCCTGTTTCAAGTCAGCTTCGGCACCAATCACTGCTTGGCTTCTTTAATGTTGAAAGTTTCCAACTGAGAAGACCCAGATATAATTCTTAGCCTCCTAGTATCAGTCATTAGAGCATTCTACCCTTCAGGAAAGATTTATAGAGCTCTATAGAGAAAGGTACAATACCTGCCTTCGGAGTTTGAAATGAAATTCACAATAAAACATCAAAATTTGTATTTATTTTCCAAAGCAATTGAGGTACTTTTCAATATTTAAAAATATAAAACAGTACAATTGTATGTATGCATTAGTGATGAACTCTTGATGGGAGAAAGGGATACAATCCTTGTGGAAGATCACTTGCCAGTAAATATAAAAAGGTTTTCAAATACCCATGCTCTGTCTCAGCAATTCCACTTCTTGGAATTTATACCAAGGACCTGCGCAAACACATATGCACAGAATGAGTAATGGCGGTAGGCACAGAGACACCCCATAGGAGCTTCACAGGAGGATTTGCTTCACAGGAGGACTTGCTACCCAGCAATGGAGAGTGTGGTCAACAGATACCCCCAGCTATAAGCCCCTTCAGGGTTGGCCTAAGCTGCAGAGTGCAGCCTCACCTGAGGTCCTTCCCCTCCCAGGGCAGCCCTCATCTGGTCAATGAATGGCTTAAGATTATAAAAACCCAGCAATTTCCACCCAATGACACAATACTGGGGTCTGCTGTAGACCTTTGGGGTCTGCTGAGGCCACGGGACTGTACCACAGTTCACCTTCTCCCTCGCCCATCCCTGCTCCTTCCCTCTTCCCTTCACAGGGATCCAGCCCTAGTTAATACCTTACACCACCAATGCCATTTCTGTCAGCTTCTGAAGACTCAACTTGTGATGGCATTAAGCATGACTTATTAAGAATGAGAACCCTAGCCAGGCACAGTGGCGCATTCCTGTAATCCCAGCATTTTGGAAGGCCGAGGTGGGTGGATCACGAGATAGGAGATCAAGACGATCCTGGCCAACATGGTGAAACCCCTGCTCTACTAAAAATACAAAAATTAGCCAGACGTGATGGCACATGCCTATAATCCCAGCCACTCGGGAGGCTGAAGCAGGAGAATCGCTTGAACCAGGGAGTCAGAGTTTGCAGTGAGCCAAGATTGCACCACTGCACTTCAGCCTGGCAATAGAAGGAGACTCTGTATTAAAAAAAAAAAAAAAAAAAAAAAAGGAATGAGAATCCAAAAGCTACCAAAAGCCCCAACAATAGAGATAGTGGAGTAAATTATGTCTCCTCCATAGAGTGAGATATTGTGCAGTCGTTAAGAATGTAAAGGGAGGCCGGGCACAGTGGCTCATACCTGTAATCCTAGCACTTTGGGAGGCCAAGGTGGATAGATTGCTCAAGCTCAGCAGTTCAAGACAAGACTGGGCAACATGGTGAAAATCCATCTCTACTAAAAATACAAAAATTAGCTGGACATGGTGGTGCACACCTGTAATCC